CACCTTGCCCCCCACCCCAGTATCTCCCTCGTATCTGATACTGAGCCTTTAACATGTAAAGCACTTTGTCATCAGAAGTAATTGCAAAGAATTTGCAACAGAAGAAAATGCAATCAGGCTAGAAATTTGTGTCAAGGAACAGCAAACTGAACAAGACAACTGGATAATGGCAACCATCTAAGAAATGAACTTTGGGATCAGTAGGAGGGCACTGGTATTCAGTCTGTGTCCAGGTAGCTCATGTGATAAACAAAGTAATAATGTAATCAGTATTCCTAGTAATGGATATGGCTGTTACAGAGCACACAAATGGGAAGCTTTTCTTGTCCTTTCGATGGCTGCCAGTACAAGCTTGGAGTTAAGGCACGCTTGTTTGTTGGTCTGTTTGTCCTCCTGTAGTCCTGTTCTAAACTGTGCTTGTAAAGCAGTCACCGTATCAGCCTTCTTGGGATGGCTGAGGTAGGGGCAACCTCCTGAAAGGTACAGAGACTTACGGGTCAGGAAGCTGCTCTGTGTCCTGCAAGCACTAATGCACTCAGGCTGTAGCACAGCTCTCCAGTAAGGCTCATGTTGTTGCAGGCAGGGGAGCTGAAAGACAGGAAAGCTGAACAGGATGCTGAGACACTAAGTTACAAATGCATTTTTTACAGTAGCTGGTGCATGCAGTTGGATGGCATACAGCTCTTCACAGCTGTCACTTTGTACTAGCTGTTTTTCTTCTTCCAGCCCATTTATCATTTTACTTTCACAGTGTTCTTCTCAAGTCTTCTCTAAATGTTATGACAGCTTCTACTTTGTGAAATTGGGAAGCTGTGAGAAGACTACAGTCCTTGCTATTCCAACAAAACCCAGGAAAGACATATTTTTTTTTAATTATTGTGACAGCTTCTGCTCTTTTTAGTTCAAATTCTCTTATTTATAAGTTCTGTAAAGAACTGACAACTAGTGATTAGAGGCTTCCACAAGATTGGTAGTAGTTAACGGCACTGTGAATAGTATGGTATCATTGTAGTTTATTGCATTACGTTAATATGATCCTTCATGACTTCTAAGCTGTATAGCCTTTGAAGAAGCTATAATATGGACAAATTCACTCCTAGTATAACTTAGTCTCCTTAACAGCAGTGATGCTGTTTCCATTTTCACCAGAGAGCTGGCCACACCACATATCCAGACAAAAAAATAGAAGAGGAGTAACTAGGACATAGGTAAATCATACAATCATAACAAAATATTTCCAAAAAACATTTTCACCACTGAAGAAGAAACGTTTCCAGAGTTTTCTAGGAGCAGATTTTAACGCTGGACACCAAAAAGATGCACAATGCAGGTCTTACCTAGGTTTGTAGGTTTTCTTCAACCAGTTCAGTCCCACGTGCTGCATACAGTCTCTTAGGAGCAGAACTATCTACGATAGAAAAAAATGATATTTATGATGAAAAAAAAGATAAATCAAACTTTTGAGCAATCAGACCTTGGGAATGGTTGGGAGTGGTTTGTTATCCCTTCCTGGATCAAAAATATGATCCACAGAACTTCTAAGTAGAATTGAGATTTAGCTGCTTTTTTCTTACACGCAATACGGTTACGTTCTTAAAAAAGTTCCCTGCTGCAATAAATAGTATCAAAATCAGATGCTGGCATTCACTGGCCTAAAGTATTTCTGTCTTGCAATCTTTTACATTCCCTTTTTAATTAGAACTCCCTGGGGATTTAGTGTAAACAGAGGTGGAAGAGTGGACACCCCTTGATTAGATCATTATTAATTTAGATGCACTATCTATCTTGGAAACTCAGGTAACTCAGAAGGCTCCAAATATTGGCTATAAGTTTATCAGATATGCCACTTTTTAAAAACATACTTTTCCTTGTAAAAGGCAGAAATATCCACTAGCAGCTCAAGAAGGATACAGATCCATAAGCACTTCACTGCAGTCTCAGGAGAAATGTTAAATTTGCATTTCCATGAAGTTCTATTAAGAGTGCTGAATTACTGCTGCTGTGGTAGAATAAAGTTAGTTTAAGGTTATCTGCTTGAGGGAACTGCTTAATAAAGTGAATTCAAGGTAGGCTCCCTCAAGCCTGAGGGGACGCAAGATCATTGTAAAACGTACTGCTACCTCCCTTCATTTCTCTACAGTTCCCTTTGACTTATGTGCACTTTTCATGCCTTCCTGTTCAGGAAAACTATTTCATCCCTTCTTTGTTAAGGCACTGTATTCAGCTGTTAAGGCATCTTATTCAGCCCCCCTTGGTCAAATCTTCCTGTGCCAGAACATTTGCAAGGGAGTTCATTCTCACATTCATACTGAGAACAAAACTATCACATTCCTAAACACAGAAATATTTGATTTTACCGGCCCTTTTGCCACCCCCTCTTCTCTCTTTGTGATTCTTACTCATTCTGATTAGGATGTGAACGCTTGCTGAAAGGAGACTTGACATTTACTTGTCTTTTAAATTGCTTGTGTAGTTCGAGGTGCTACAAAATCAACAACAAGGACACTTTCCAGAGGAAACTGAGTCTACACTTGGATTATTTGTTTATTCTTAATGAATCAATGTGGTATCTGACAAGAAAAGATGTTTCTTATATTAGGTATTCTAACCTGACAAACAGGGATTTTAAAGTTTTAAAGTGCTTTTTTAACTGTTCAATTTGCTCCATTCTAAGAGTTATTCTTCAAGAATTTTTTGAGATATTTTGAGATATCTTATTTTGAGATAATTATATAATATTTTGAGATATCTTCAATACCCAGAACAAGCAGATATTGCAATTTACTGCATAAAACGTTTAGGATAACCAGATTTCTTTCCAACATGGAATTTACTTAGTTAATGAATCTGAACAGCAACAAGTTGAAAACAGATATAAAGAAGCATTAAGAGGAAAATAAAACAAAGTGAATAACCTCCCTTGTGTATTAGTTATTAAAAGACCATAAGGGTTCAGATGTGAATGCCATGTACTCATGTTTTTATTATGATTGGAACTCAGAACAAATAAAGAACAATTATCTGCACCTGTCAGGACAAAACTCACTTGCTTACTGAAGGACTATGGGGAAAAAAAATCCTTTATGAGCTAATTATTACTGAATTGTCTCATATGGACACTTGCACTTTTCCAGAACCTGTGATAGGGCCCTTTATGGGGATACAAGCAGTCAGCGGACAGGCTAAGCCAGGTCATAGCCAGGAAACTTATGTGTTCCTATTATTGTATAGAGGACTTTATTCCTTTTTCCTATTAATATACCAAATAATTCATAGATGTTATAAAGTACTAAAATAAACATTAATGGCATTTACTTAACCTTTCATTATAATTATCAGCTAAACAATCATTTTTCAAATTAAGGATGATACATGACTGACACTAAATATTTTCTTGGTCACTCGAACTAATATGTCCATGAGTGAAGAGATAAGCCACTCCGAAACTCAGGCTTCAGTTCTGACTAACAACCTTGAAACGTTTCCATCATTTCTCTGAAAACGGTATCAGAAAAATTCAGATGATTATGTGCTTACATATTGCTTAACACTGAAGCCTTTGATCATGGAGCAGCATTTCTCAGGTCTTTCAGAACTGCCTAATTCTAGCGGAGAGGTAGACCAAAAGGCTTTTGTTGCATTAAACTTGTTAAAGACAGTTCATCAATAAGTAATTATGGATAATTTCTAGTTAATGGTATATTTATTCTGACATTCCATTGCTTATTTTGGTTAGATTTTGAGATTTGACTCTCTTTTAAAGTTGGCTTTTGACTAAGGAAGTTGAATTGCTTCATTTGGAGAGGGCAATAAGGAACTAACTTCACTATTGCAGAGAACACTTAATGCTTTATTACATTATTTAATACAGCGTTAGACACCCACAATTTACACAGCTAGTCTTAGAAACTCACGGGACAGCTAATCCAAGCCTATCTGCATAGGAGAGAAATAAAATACCACATTGTACCACGCAGCCCAGGCGGATGCCCGCTTCCCAGGAAAGCTGGCGCTCCTCCAGCCTGCCTTCGCCCTGCCTCAGTGGTACCGGGATTGCTGACGCACAACAGCGCTGCCCTGCCACGTCGGCAGGTCCTGCTGGCGCCTGTGCCCTCAGCGGGCTGCAGCCCC